AGGTGCCTTAGGATGTGCCTGAGAACTCAGTTAACTTCCTTCTTTGGCTCTTGCCTTTGCCCTTAACGCTTTCTGCTTCTCCGGAGAGCAGGAAAGATACAGTTCCAGCACGCGACTCTTGAAGGTCACAGTACCTCAGCACCACTGATCGTGGAGCCCCCCCCACCCCCACCCCCCGCAACCGGCTTGGCGTGCTTCCTTAAAGGATGTCTTTGGTTAATGACTTCACTGCCGTGCAGTTGACATCATGTGGAAAGCAGCATATGATGCCAAAGTTGGCTGTTTGACGAAGATCATCAGAAACCCTGCTAGTATAGATACTGACCCCACTATGTGGAGAAGAGCCAAAACAGGCGCCTGAGTATCTAGTGCTGTCTGTAAACTGTAGGGAATGTTAAGTCTTACAAAGGCCCTCTTAACGTGAAGGCCCCTGAATCTCTCAGTCTTTGGGTCCTGGGCATACACTGTCATTCTTGATATAACCCCATAGAGCCAGCCCACCTCACATTTAGCAAGAGGGTGCAGATATACCCTCCAGGCATTAGACACTCCCTGGTTTTTGTGACGTCGTTCACAGTATTTCCAAAGGACTCCAGGACACTTCTCCTACTTGGCTATCTCTCTCATCCTCTGCTCCACCAGAAACCATGGCGCTAAATGACACAAGAATTTAAGATGATCTTACACATCACTGCGTAGAGCACCTAAGCCTATCATTGCAATTGGCGTAAGGGTGGAGAGAAAATGACCCAAGGATCAGGCCACCTTATCAATCTTCCCACGCGGCAGTAACAAAGTGCAGAGGTCTCAGTATCCATGTAAGCTAATAGTCCTTTTTTGTAGAGGATATAGTTTGTGGCTTAGACTTGGAAAAAGAGAAAGAAAACCCTCACTCCCCCCAAATTCTCTCAAAAGCGGTTCATATCTGCCCAGCAGTGTTCTGGCCCAGGAATCAGGTAGTTCTTCGGAGAAAATCTTATCTAGAGAAACCACATCCTTGGAGAAGTAATGACCCCAGCTATCTCCCTAGGAACTTCAAAGATTCACTGATCAATATTGGCTCCCAATTTAGCATCTCACATAAGGTTTCCTCATAACCCCAGAATAGTCTGACCTGGCCCATTTCCCCTAGTTAATTATCCACAGAGACTAGCTAGCAGATAGGAGGGCTGAACTCCAGTGCTCTAAGAAAAAAGAGTTGTCCCATCAGGTGAGGCTACCAAAGGGGCAATTATTGGGTGGCCATAATGACAACTAGCATTTTAATAATTGCAGGGAGAATGTGCGGACAGTAGTGTTTTAATTCTCTTGGTATTGGCTCCTGGATTTTAACTTCAACATTCGAAGTTGTTTAATCCTGATATTGTTATAAAAGTGAAAGCTCAAACAGGCTAAGTACAGTCTCCCAAAAGCTGAGTCTGTGTGTCAGTCTGTCTCTGAGTGCTGGGAATGAAAAATATAGCTTCTAAGCAGGGTGGTGGTAGTGAACGTCTTTAATCCCGTCACTCAGGAGACAAAGGCAGGTGGATCTCTGAATTCTAGGCCAGCCTGGTCTACGGAGTGAGTTCTAGGACAACCAAAGCTACACAGAGAAACCCTGTCTTGTGGGGGAATGGGGGTGGGGCAGAGTGGTTTATCTAAGGTGCTATACTAATATTCAAACACTAAGCCACAGTCCAGTCTAATCTCTTTCTGAACATAGGTGGGAAAGTTAAGACTGCCATAAATATAATAGCTAAGTAAATCCCAGGTCCAAATATGATCAAGTGAGTGAATACAGGAATGGACAACGGAGAAGGCCCAGGCTTGACATCAGTGTGACCTTGGGAGGATGTAAAATGCACAGGGACAATGGTGCCCCCTGGTGGTCAAAAGCAATGAGTGCATGCAGACTCTAGAACTCTCTTAGCGTTGGCTATTGTAGGTAAAATGAACTTCCTTACTTAGACAGTGGCTTGCTCTCTGTGTGTATACAAGAACATGTGTGTGGTCTAAGCCATGAGTCGGCGGCACATGTATATAATCCCAACATTTTGGAGGTGGAGGCAGGAAGATCTGGAGTCCAAGGTCATCTTTGGTTACAGAGTAAATTCAAGGATAGCCTGGAGTATATGAGATCCTGTCTAAAAGAAAAATTAAATTTAATCTGAGGCAAAGGCTCACTAAATTGCCCAGGTTGGCCTAGAACGTCTGATCCTCCTGTCTCAACCCTTGGAGTAACCAGTCACGCACTGCTATGCCCAGCTGACGAAAGCCAAGATGTATTTAGTGCTTACTGCTCCAAGTTACTATCTAACTATAGTACATGAGTCACCTTAATTAATCCTCACGACTCTAAAATATGTAGTAATAGTACCTTTAAGGAGGAGGAGACTCAGATAAAATATCTTGCCAAGTCCATTGCTCATAATTAGCCTCCATAGAATTCAGACTCAAGTCAATCTCATTCCAGAGCCAGTGTCTGGATGCCAGGCTTTACCATTTACCCCATAGGTGCTGGGGATCAAATCCAAGACATCCTGCATACTAGGCAAATATTCTACCAGGGAGCTACACCCTGACCCCAGAGGGTTTTGAATCATGGTCAATGGTGTCCTGGAGACATCAGCACAATGTCTGGCTATAAAGATACTTTAAAAGATAACAAGTATGCAGTCTCACCCATCTGTAAAACCTTTGCACACCCATAACTGGAGACACCCACCCTAGAACACATACATGATTTAAAAAAAAAAAAAAAGAACCACCTAGTAGCTAAAATGACCAAGGTGAACAAGATGGATGTCATTCCCTTGTAGTGGTAGGAACCAAACAGAAGGGTTCATGCACACAAGGCAAGTGTTCTAATGTGAACTACAATGTCAATCCTAAGACATTTTGGTGGAGAAACAGGGTCTTATACTATTGCCCAGACTGGCTTCAAATTCCTAGGCTCAAGTAATCCTTCTGCCTCAGCCTCCCAAACAGCTTGCACCACCAACACCCGGCTGTAAAATGGTGTAATTATTAAAAACGTATCTACTTATTTATCTTGTGGCTCGTGCATGCACTCACTTTTGTCACTGTGTACACATGGAGGTCAGAGGTCAACTTGTGAGAGTCAGTTCTCTCTTACCAAGTGGGATCCTGGGATTGAACTCAGGTCAGGCTTGGCAGCAAATCTTGCCAGCCCTTTTTTTGAGGCCAGGTCTATGAAGCCCAGCTGTCCTCCAATTCTGGGCAGTCCTGCCTCATGTCTGCAAATGATGGTTCCTAGGGTGGGCCACCATACCCAGCTTCAGCTGTTGTAGTTGTCATTGTTTAATCTGAGGGATGGGTGCTACACAAGTGTGTAGACCAGGATTTGATCTCTGGACCTACCCAGGAGAGAACTGACTCCCAAAAGTTGTTCTCTGACCTCCAAATGCAGTCCACAAACAAAATAAAGGTAAAATTAAAAAACAAAGAATCCGGGCTGGAGTGATGGCTTAGTGGTTAAGAACACTGACTGTTCTTCCAAAGGTCCTGAGTTCAATTCCCAGCAACCACATGGTGGCTCACAACCACCTGGAATGAAATCTGGTGCCCTCTACTGGCCTGCAGGCAGAAGACTGTACAGACTGTATACGTAATAAATAAATAAAATCTTTAAAAAAAAAAAGAAAGAATTAAAAAAAAACCAAAAAACAAAGAATCCAGCCCGGCAGTGGTGGTACTCGCCTTTAATCCCAGCACTTGAGACAGGTGGATCTCTGAGTTCGAGGCTTTACACAGAGAAACCAAAATAAATAAATATAAAAATCCCAGATTCCACCCCCACCCAGCAACTCCATAGAGAAACAATAACAACAAAAAAAAATTGAACAATTCATTCAGATGCCCTAAAGCATATTCCTGAGACAAGAATGTTTTTACACTCTGAAACATCTCAACAGCAGGGTGTTTAAGAAGTTGCAAAAGGTAGGTATCTTAGATTTCCAATACTATGTCCAGGACAGAATAGTCTACTAGATACTAGATTATCAATGGTTTGTGATACTTGAGGATAAGACCTTTTTTTTTTTTTTTTTTTGAGACAGTGTTTCTCCATAATTTTGGAGCCTGCCCTGGAACTTGCTTTGTAGACCAGGTTGGCCTTGAACTCACAGAGACCCTCCTGCCTCTGCCTCCCAAGTGCTGGGACTAAAGGCGTTCACCTCCTCCACTTGGCGTAAAATCTTTTTTTTTTTTTTGGTCTTTCGAGACAGGGTTTCTCAGTGGCTTTGGAGCTTATCCTGGCACTCTGTAGACCAGGCTAGCCTCGAACACACAAAGATCCGCCTGCCTCTGCCTCCCGAGTGCTGGGATTACAGGCATGAGCCACCAATGCCCAGCTGATAAAATCTTTTTTTAACAGTGGATCAAAACCAGGGATGTTTACATGTTAGACAAATATTTTACCACTGAACTATATCCCAAACAAAAGAAAGATACACTTTAATGGTTGCTGTTTGCATCAAGACCAAAACTTAGGGATAGCAAGTAAGGCCTTTCATTAAGCAACACTCCTTACCTCCTCCTGTGTCCCTATCTGACAATACCCTCACTTTTCAGCTGAGCTAGTCACATCCACTCTCCCCTTCCTGTCTCTAGCTTGCTGGTCCCTCCATCTGGAAAGCCCGAGGGAAGAATAATGCATTTCCATTATTTTCTTCTGGACGAACTCCCAATTCCCACTTTTACTGTTTTCTCAGTACAAATACAAGGATTTCCTGCAGGCTTGTGCAGTCACTTATGTTCCTCTGCTCACACAGCTGTTTGCCTTTTCTTCACAATGCCAATAGCTATCAACACACCACAGTAAGTGTCTGCTGAGTAAATAGTTATCTATGGTTTATAAGTGGGACAGGATCCCAGACGATAGAGAACTAACAGGTCAGGGCCTAATTTACACTATGCCAATCCCCAAACTCTACGCCCTTTCTTCTACCTAATTTCTTTCTGTCTGCAATTCCCTACCTCCAAGCCTAATATAATGAAGGCTAAATTTGGGCATAAAAAGACAACACAGTTTGTACTTTTGGTTTCAGACTTTTTTTTCAGTTCATTTCCATAAAAACATAATATAAAAGGCAATGCCACCATCTTCCCCTCCTGGGGGTGTTCCATCAAGTTGGTCTAAGCTGCTGCAGTGATTCATAGCTCATCATGAGATCTGTGCAGGGCATGGTCACAGAGATCTGCAAATAGTACAGGACAATTTGAAGGAAACGGCCACTCTCACAAAACCCCTCTCAAGGAACTGACAACCACCACCACCACCACCACCACCACTCTTCAAAGGATATTTGTATAAATGACAAATCCTCACTCCTGTATCTAAGGTGACAAATAGAGACACATATTCTGAAAGCTGATGGGTAGAGACCAGAGAGATTCCTCCAATCCCTAAGCCGAGGGGGAATGGACGCCAGTTGTGGGACATCCATCAGTGGTGTGAGTGTGTGGCCACACTCTTGTGTGGTAAAGGAAGTAAATAAAGGGGGCGTGGCTTGGGAAGTGGCTTACCTGTTCGTTTACTGCAAAGTTTGTCTTTAACATTGTCAGACTCTCGGGAAAAGAATTCAATAAGTTCATCTTCATATTCCTCCACAATGCTCTCACACTGTCAAGCCAAAAGACACAGTGACACAGGGGCAAAGATGGGGCAAACCCATGGGAAACTGACACGGGAAAAGACACTGACCCAACTCTCCACTTGGTTTTTTGGGGGATTTTTGGAGACAGGGTCTTATGTAGCCCTGGCTGGCCTGGAGCTCACTATGTGGACCAGGCTAGCCTCAAACTTATGGCGATCTTCCTACCACTGCATCTTGAGTGTTGGAATTATAGAGGTGAAACACGGCATCTGCCTCCAATCCCTAACTTATGCCCAGCAATCCCCATTCACTTCCAAGATCCCACCATCCACAACAACTCACCGCAAACTTGAGGGTGCCACTGATATCTGAATCGATTCGGATGCCCTGTAAGTCTAGTTCACTGGATTCTCCATTCCGGCCCACAACGCGTACATAGTTCTTGCGGTGTGTAGAAGGGTCAATCTGTTCCCCATACTCCTTCATGCGGTCACAAACCTCCTCGAGCAGCTCTGTGAGGTGGGCTTCTGAGCGGGCGTAAGGGACCTAGAATGTACTCAGCTTTAGGTAGCTCCTTCCACCACAATCTGCACACTTACTTTCCCTTGCAAATCTAGCTCTGACAACTCATTTTAAAAAAAGAAAAAAAAAATCATCCTACAAATACAGTTTGAATGTCTGTCCATTCTTCCTTCCTCTCAAATTACCTTCACACGTACCTATTTTGATAGGTTTTCTTTTGGAGCAGGGCCTCATCCTGTAGTCGTGGGTAGCCTTGAACTCAAAGAAATCCACCTGCCTCTGTCCCCCAAATGCTGGGAGAAAAGGAGTGTGCTACTACTCTGAGCAAATGTACAACCTTATTCTACCTGATTATAAAATCCAGAGAAAAAAGACAGGCACCATTAACTCCATATTACAGGTAGAAGCCACTTTGATTAACTAAGGCATAGTGGCATATACCTTTAATCCCAGCACCCAGGAGGCAGAGGCAAAGACAGGTGGATCTCTGTAAATTCAAGGCCAGCCTGGTCTACATAGTGAGCTCAACAACAGGCAGAGCTACAAAGTAGGACCTGGTCTCCAAAAAACAAGCGAGCACACAAAAATAAGAGGTGGTATAGGTTCTGATGATAGCACACCGACACACTTGGCAAGAACGTTTCCTTGTAGGGCTGGAGAGATGGCTCAGCAATTAAGAGCACTGGCTGCTCTTCCAGAGGACCTGGGTTCAATTCCCAGCACCCACATTGCAGCCTACAACGGACTGTAACTCTAGTTCCTGGGGATCTGACACCGCCACATAGACATACATGCAGGCAAAACACCAATGCACATAAATGTTCCCTTGTATATTACTTACTAGGTATAGCTTTGTGTATTTATTTTCTTTTTTAATATGCATAGGTGTTTTGCCTGCATGTGTATCTGTTTGAAGGTGTCAGAACTCCTGGAGCCGAAGTTATAGACAGTAGTGAGGTGGGAATTGAACCTGGGTCCTCTGGAAGAGCAGCCAGTGCCCTTAACTTTTGAGTTAACTCTCCAGCCCCTGTGCATAGTATATCTTATGTTCCTAACTAACAAACTTCTTGAATACAAATCTTTATTTTATGTATGACTGTTTTCTTGCATTTATGCATGCCTAGTGCCCACAGACAACAGGAGGAGGACATCAGATTCCACAGAAGAAGTTACAAACCACGATGTGGGGACTAGCATTTGAACCAAGTTCTGAAGAGCAGCAAGTGCTCCTAACCACTGACCCATGTCTCTAGCTCCAAGGAAGACTCTGAGGACATGCAGGGATTACAGGAGAGTACCAGCATGCTGGGCTTATGGGATGCTAAGGACCAAACCCAAGGCGTTGTGTGTTCTAGGCTAGCACTGTCATCTGAACCACACTCCCAGCTGGTGAAGACCTTTTGTTCTTTTTTAAATGAATGTATGTATTCTATGCTACTATAGTGAAACAAGAGTCCTGTGAACTAGGGATGTGGAGAAAAAGACTGCAAGGCCTCGGGGAGCAGAAACAATGAGTTGAGGTTTGGAGCCAAGAAATATGTAGGTTACGAGCTTCCAGCATCTTCCAATAAGCCCTGCCGTGGTGGTGTTTGTGCGGCAGGGTCTCAAATAGTCCAGGCTGACCTCGAACTCTTGATCATCCTGCATCTACCTCCCAGTACTGGGATTACAAGCATGCAATAGCACACTTGGCGTACAGCCCAATCTTTCAGAATGTTCCGATTGGTTGATTGGCTTTTCGTTTTGTTTCTTTTCCCTTTGAAGACAGTATCTAATTCTGCAGTCCACACTGGCCTGCTCAGAACTCAGAGAGATCCTCCTACTTTAGCTTCTGAGTGCTGGGATTATTACAGGTCATATGCCGTCTGCTTTCTTCACTTCCGAACTAAGCCCAGTTCCTAGTCAAAGCCTGGGTGGGCATCTGGGGGAACAGTAAGTTACCTCCACAACTGACTGGCTGCCGTCTGGATTGATCCGGAAGGATCCCATCTGAATGGTCTTCTTGGGGTCCACTCGGGAAATTTCCCATTCTAATTCATCCACCAGAGCCCTGCAAGCTGACGCCAGGGAAGAGAAACGGGGGTGGGGATGTAGACGAGAGTGGGGGTGGGGTGGGGATGCGGACAGACGAGAGTGGGCTCAACCCAGGGACTTCTGTCCATCTTTGTTCCAAGCTTTGGATCTTACACCTCCCAAGGGTCGGCTTCCTCCCACTTCTCCTTGTCTCCTTCCTTTGTGCCTTTTACCTCCACAGTGTAGATCCTGGCTCCTTCGAGCCCAAGCAGTTCCCAGCAGGACCCCCAGAAGTAGGGCCAGCCAACCCCAGCCTTTCATCTTTAGCGTACCGGGGTCGCTCCACCTGGATTCGTGTGAAAAACAAAACAAAGGTGTGAGGAGACAGATCCATTTTCCCCCCCTAGCCCGCCACCCTTCATCCCGAGGCCCTCAGAGGCCCTCAGAGGCCTCAGTGCGACTGGTTCCATTATCCAGGAAAAGGCCAAGTTACAAACACCCGAGGGACTAGAGGGCCCCGGGGTTGGGGAATGGGAAGTGAGAACTCAGGACCGGGACTCAGTTCCAGAAACTATGTCCTCCACAGGTGATTGGCATTTCAGCGTTGCACGCTGAGGGCTCACAGAGCTATGCAGCAGCTATGGGATGGGATGATCAATCACGCGAGGACCACGGGAGAAAGGGGCTGCCCACAAGGAACGATCCATCAGTCGGGCCACGAGGCCAGCGGGAACACTCCATAACTCAGGGCCTATGTGGACCTAGCACCAAGGGATCCAGAATCCTCCTTTCCAGCATGTAAGTCGTCCCCGTGCAGACCGGCCCCTTTTCTAAGGACTCCGCCATTGCTGTCGCTCGGGTCCCTTCCCAACCGGGGGACGCCCACAGCCTCTGATGCTCGCATCTGTCCCACCTCTGCTCCCACGGCCGCCGTGGCCCAGGCACTGGGAAGCCGCCGGACTCTCACTTTGTTTTCTGTGACTCCCGACCCTAGCAGCTGTCTGGGAGGAGCGAGGCTGCCCCGGCTTCTCCAGCGCCCGCCAGGCTCAGGGTGGCCAGGGACTGCCTGGCCCAGCGGCCCGCACCTAACTAGGCACCTAAGCAGGGACCTGATGGAGCCATGCAAGCCCCGACCCGAAGCCGATCCTAAGCCCGCCCCTCCAAACTCTCGCGCGAACAGGCAGTTTAGGGGCGCCTCCGGGACAGCGAGGACCCCTCGGAAGGTTTAAGGACCCAGACTTGCGTGGCGGATCCGTCCACGTGACCACCCGAAAGAACAAAGGTAGCCTAGCCCAAGGTGAGGACCCAGCTCGAGTGATGCGTGGGGATGATGCATCAGCCCAGGTGGGCTAGGACTTCCAGGTAGATGCAATTAGTGGAAGGGAGACCCAGGTTTCCATAGACAAAGCGTTCATTACGCAGGAAACTACATTTCCCAGGAAGCTCTGCGGTACCAAGCTTTGACAGCAGCTACAGGTCTTTTTGGTTTGTGTTTTTGGTTTTTAAACTAGTTGTTAGTTTCCTCTTGTGCCTAACTAATAAATTATCGTGATTATGTATGTATGTATGGGGAAAATCACTTTTGGCATTACCTGCCTTTTCAGGCGTTCTTGGAGAGTCCTTCAAGTTATCTTCTGATAATATTAGCTCTCAGACTGTGACTTTCCTAGGGCTACTCTCTGAAATCCCAGCACATCGCTGCTACTATTATATTGCTGTGCAGCCCAGGATGGCCAGAACTGTTAGGATTACAGGCAGACACCAAACCTGACTTCACCCGTCTTAAGATAAACTGGGATTTGTGATCTTTTTATGTGTTTAGGGTGCTAGGTAATTACAGCAAAGACCGAACACTGTCCAGGGGAAATTATATCCCTCCTGGATATACCCATTTGGACTCCAGAATCTAACCTTCATTTCTTCTTCTTCTTTTTTTTTTTTTTAAAAGTTTCTCGAAAAAGGGTTTCTCTGTGGCTTTGGAGGCTGTCCTGGAACTAGTTCTTGTAGACCAGGCTGGTCTCAAACTCCAGAGATCCGCCTGCCTCTGCCTCTAGAGTCCTGGGATTAAAGGCGTGCGCTGCCACCGCCGGACCTCTAACCTTCATTTCTAAGTGTAGATCTGAACACAATTATAATTTTTCTTTTTTTCAGTGAACAATGAATAAAACAAGAGGTGAGGTCAGCAGCCAAAGAACCCCACACTAACAGTTTTCTAATGAGATAAAAATATTTTTATTTTATAAAACATGCTGTTTTAAGCAAATTTTTGTAAAAAATAAAACAAAACTCAAGAGAGAATGTATGGAAGACAGATACTCGTCAGCTGTCAGTGGGAATGAAGCCAATAGCTCAGCTTCCTCCACACTGGTCTGATTGGCCCATTAAGAATCCACATGCTGGTTCCCAGCCATCATCTCTCAAGCAGCAGGACGCTTGAGATGTCTAGATCTCTTGAAGTGCGACACTGCCCAGGATTTCGGTCCTCTAGCTGTCTGGGAACTGAGGGTTCTGATTCTAGGAGCTTTTTGTTTAGTTATCAATCACCCAGAATATGTATTAAGAATATCAATTGTTTTCCACCTGGGCCAATTTAGGCTTTGCTTCTGGCCCACTGTTTTGCAGAGGATAAAGAGGGAATCTGGCTTCTAGAACATTTGCAACAATTTTGCTGCTTTCCAGTTCTGTAAACAGCACCATCTGCAGGCCCTGAGCAGATCCAGTTCTGGACGTGGACAGGGTAAAGCCGACTGGAGAAGCCGTCTCTCAGGTCCTGTGTCACAGGAGTGAATGGCAAGGGCAGGTCAGAGTGCCAGTACTGAGGGGAAGACAGCTGTATCTGTCACGAGACACAATGAGTGAAACAAGGGTGAATAGAGAAAGCAATGGAAGCACTTCCTATGATGTAAGCGTGGGAAAAGGGAGGGCCTGGCATGGATTCTCCTCAGTCATTCTAGGATTGGGCAAGTGGCTTCAGACCAGTGGGTAACTTAAAAAATAAAGTCCATCTCACTTACTGTTAGGACAACTGAGTGATCTGTAAACTGTCGGTGCCTCCTTCATGAGTAGAAGGCAGGAGTACCATTACCATTAAGGTGGGGTTGTACAGTCTGTACATACCATCAAAACCTACCCAACCCAGTCCCCTTGTCTCAACCCAGCCTTACTCTTGGGACTTGTCTGGCTTTCAGGCTCAGGCACCTTCCAGTCCATCTTTCGGCCCTTCTCATAAAGACCCTTGAGCACCTTGTGGAAGGACTCAGGCTCAGTCCCATTCTTGCTCAGTTCCAGGTACTTTCGGTACAGTTGAAGGGCTGTGCGGGCGTCCTCAATACTGTCATGGGTCTCACCTTGAATCTTCAGGTCTGGTGTAAATACCATTATTAAGGATTTCACATAGGAGGGACCCCATTTGTGTCCTGACTCCTAAAGAACTCCTCTACATGTTCCTCTACTCCCATGCAGACTCCCAGTCTCCCAGAAAGCATCTTTTAAAAAAAAAATTGGAATGTTTGCCTGCATGTATTTATGTGCTCTATGGACGTGCAGGTATACATGGACGTCAGAAGAGGGCATCAGATCCCCTGGAACTGGAGTTATAGATGGCTCTGAGCTGCCACATGGGTACTGGGAACTGAACCTGGGTCCTCTGCAAGAGCATCAGGTGCCTTTTAACACTGAGCCAAATCTTCAGTCCCAGAAAACTTTTTAAGTTACTGGCAGTGACTAATGGAAACCATTAGCAGAAAAGACATTATAATTCTAAGCTGAGAAATTACTGTTTATTCCAAATGTCTCCTGTTTCTGTTGCAGTTTTTGTTTCTGGTTTGTTGTTGTTTTAAGACAGTGTCTCCATGGCCTAGGCTGGCTTCAAACTTAAGAGCTGAAAGCATTAGTCTCCTTACACTTTCTCCTTTTTTTTTTTTTTTTTTTGAATAAGGTCTTATTTAGCCCAGACTAGTCTTGAACTCATTATGTAGCTGAGACCAACCTTGAACTTCTGCTTCTTCTGTGTCTACCTTTCCGAGTTATGGCTACAGGCAGGTATGTGCCACCATGTCCAATTTCATGTGGTACTGGGTCTGAACACAGGGCTTTGTACATGCTAGGCAGGCACTCTACCAGCTGAGCTACACACTTGTCACCAGTGTCTTCTACTCCTAATTGGTACAACAGGGCAGAGCAACTCACCTAGAAAGTACCAAGCAAGAAACCGCAGGGAGATCATTCGTTTCCGGGGCATGTGGAACAGGTAGACCGTGTCAAGAACTTGGTCCTTGGGCACCTGGCAGGGATCAAAAGAACAGAAGACAAGATAGGTGACCTGTACTCCCCCATTCCCTGAATACAAAACATACACTGAGAAGCCCGCCCTCAAAAGTAACTGCTAGGCCATCAAGATGGCCCAGCAAGGAAAGGCACTGCCACCAAGTGACAGCCTGGGTTCAGTCTCCAGGACTGACAAGATGGAAGGAGAGAATGGACTTCCACAAGTTGTCCTCTGACCTCTACTCATGCAACACGGTACTCTCAGGCGGTATGAGTGTACACACACACACTGATTAGATAAAAGTAATTTTGGCCAGGCGTTGGTGGCGCATGCCTTTAATCCCAGCACTTGGGAGGCAGAGGCAGGCGGATCTCTGTGAGTTCGAGGCCAGCCTGATCTCCAGAGCGAGTGCCAGGATAGGCTCCAAAGCTACACAGAGAAACCCTGTCTTGAAAAATAAATAAATAAATAAGGCTGTATATCAAAGAAGAAAAAAGTGCCAGGCACAGTGTGCTGCATGTCTTTAATCCTAACACTCAGGAGAAGGCAGTGGATTTCTGTCAGTTCAAAGCCAGTCTGTTCAACACAACTAGTTACAGGGCAGCCACAGCTACATAGTGAGACCCTGTATCGAAACAAACAAACAAAAATATTCCTAAATAAACCCTGGCCCGAACCATGAGGTTGATGACCCGGAAGTCCTTCTGCAGACCATGACCCACAAACTTGACTCCAATATCAATGAGAAAACGAAGCTTTAAGTAGGTAGACTTGAGAGTTGTGAGGTGCTTGGAGGAAATTTTGGCATCAAGGTCTCCTGGCTTTATCCCCGAGTACTGAGTCAAGTAATCTACTACCTAGGGACAGAGAGAAAGACAAATCACTGGGGCATGAGAACGTGCAGTCACTCCTACCACTCTCCCCAGGGTTCTCAGGCACTCTGTGCAAGCACAGGGTTGACTTTGGTGTCCCCGTCATGTCCTAATACCTGCTCCTGAGTAGAGATGTAGTCATCAATGAAGGGAATACCCTCATTAGGCCCTTGACCCCGAACACAGGTGATCCTTGCTACTGACATCTGGCTTGGTTTAATGGTAGACTTGGTACCATCACTTCGTAACTCCGCTTCTTCCTATGTCACAAGAGTTAATATGGACACCAGAGAAATACTTAAAATTCCTGATATCCTCAGAGTTATGTTCCTATGCACCATCCTTTTGGTCATGGTTACCTCATTAAGAGTGACAAACTCGGCATCAAGGCCCACCAGGTCCCCAACCTGTGGCATCTCATTCAGCATCAGTGGAATAAAGGTAGTATGTGTTTTCCGCTGCTTTCGTGCCAGCGAGGCTTCTGCCAGCAGCACACTGGCCTCAATAGGGTTCTTGACTGGAAGGGAGAATGCAGAAAAGACTAGGACTAGGAAAATGATCAAGGGGAGAGACCTCAGGATGGTTGCTCAGAGGCCATTGGTCTATATTGTGATCTCTTGATAACTGAAGAAATTGGGTAAAAGGAGTGTATCTGGGTTGGCAGGATGGCTCAGCAGATAAAGACACTCATTGCCAAGTCTGTCAATATGAAGTTGATCCCCAGAACACACATGGAGGAAGGAAAGGATCTATTCCCACAAACTCCTCTGATGTCCATATTCATGCTGTGTGTGGTACATACACTAATGCGTGCGCACATACACACACACAAAGTAAATTAAAATGTAGTAAAAATTTTAAAGATAGCGGGGCGTTGATGGTGCACGCCTTTAATCCCAACACTCGGAGGCAGAGGCAGGCGGATCTCTGTGAGTTCGAGGCCAGCCTGGTCTACAGAGTGAGTTCCAGGACAGGCTCCAAAGCCACAGAGAGAAACCATGTCTCGGAAAACCAAAAAA